TTGGTAACAACTTCCTGGCAGTCTTCCTGCACACTCGGGGATTCCCAAGAGGTAAGATAATCTGACCTCCAAACCATTTTCAGATGTGACGAAACTTTTACAAACACTCAATGAAGTCAATGCAGTTTTAGATTGTCCTGACATTTGCTTATGCATTTTTGAACTGTGATTTTGCAGGGTTTTGGGTTTTTTGTTTGTTTGTTTGTTTTTAGTTTGTTTTTTAATTTGGAACTGGTACTGATTTTTTACCCCAGGTCTTAGACATTTTATTTTAATTATTTATTTATTTTAGTTTTTCTATAGGGTGCGTGTGCTCACCAGAGAGAAAGAGAGAAATCACTCCCCAGAGTTAATGGCCACCCTGCGATCCCTTCTCCTCTATCCTCCTCTTGGAATTTTGGGCATGCACGTACATGCACCCAGTGTGATTTTTAAGCCACTGGGGCCAGGATTCAAACCACCCTGTTCATCCTGTGGGATCCAGCACCTTAATCCCCATGCCACCTGCTGGTTCACAGTTGTTATTTTTTTAATTTGCAAGAGGGCATGTATGCTTGCCAGAGAGAGACAGAGAAAGTGAGAGAGAGAGAGAGAGAAAGCGAGAAAACTCCCATGGGGAAATCAGGCCACAATCCCTTCTTCTCCATTTTTCCCTCCTGTCAGGATTTTGGGCACACACATACATGTGCCTGCTGTGTCTCTTAAGCCATTACTCTGGGACTCAAACCATGTCCCTGTGGGAGATCCAGGCTCCTGAACTGCTAGGTCATGGGCTAGTCTGGTCTTAAAGGCATGTTAGAGGGACCAGCAGCTAGCCTAATGGCTATGTCGCTGGACTCCCATGTAGTCGACTGCGGTTGGTGTCGCGGACCCATGGCTTGAACTCATGCCAGGCACGTGTGCATGTGTGCCCAAGATCCCAAGAGGAGAATGGAGGAGAGGGGATTGTGGCATGGCCATCCCACCTGGGGGGTGATTTCTCACTTTCTGTCTCTCTGTCTCTCTCTGTCTTTCTGGCGAGTGCACGTGCCCGATAGCAAAAACCTCTATCAATAAATAGATAGCATAGCATAGCATAGCATGTTAGAGACCCTTGGGAAGTTTCTAGGACCCGGCCATTGTCCTGTGGATAAAACAGAACAGCCTGTGTTTGGTGGGACGGTGGCTCTGGGACCTCTCTGGATAATGTGCTCCCCACCCAGTAGCCATGCTCCAAGGATAGTAAGACAGAGTCACTCGGTGGCCTTGATGGGCCAAAAGACCGTAGTAAACTCGGTGACCTTTCTGGACTATCATCGACCCCTTTCCCTGATTTTACTTGCATGCTGGGAGCCTCAAAGTGACTGACCTTGGAAATATTATTCATTTACTTATCTGCATTCAGTATCTACTGAGCACAAATCAGTGCAGCCCCCAAAGGAGGCAATCTGGCCCCGTCTGTCACAACGGCAAACACTGATTCCCCTCTGACTCAGCGGCCTCACTTCTCAGAATGCATTTTATAGACCTGCTTACGCCTGTGCTTAATCTAAACTGTATAAGGTTTCTTCTCGCAGCATTTTTTGGTGAAAAAAGTGATTGGGGCCGGCTGTGGAGGTGCAGAAGCAACCGCCTGGCAATGCTGAGGCCGTACAAGAAGGTCCCTTCCTGCACACTCTGGGTGCATGTGGGCCTGCCCGTGGGCCTGTAAAAATAAGAGCGGCGCCTCTCTGTACGGTCTACGGAAGGAACTCCGATAGGTTACCAGGCTTGTTTCACAGGCCGAGGTGGAGAGCAGTCAGACTCAGATACCAGCTGGCCATGTGGATCTGGCTCCCTTAACCTCAGGCGATGGTCAGCAGTGCTCATCGTAAAATACAGTACATACTGCCTTTTTAAAATAAGATTTTTGTTACAGGGAGTGTGTGCTTGCCAAAGAGACAGACACAGAAGGTGCGATACCCACCCCCCCCCAGGGGGATAGCCATGCCACAATCCCTTCTCCTCTGTTCTCCTCTCGGGATTTTGGGCACGTACGCATCTGTACCCAGTGTGAGTTTTAAGCGTCTGGGTCTGAGACTTGAACCACAGTCAACGGTGACATAACCATTACACAACATTGCCTTTTTAAAAACCATGTGGATGGATCTATTTAATAAATCTATTTAACTCAAAATAAACCTACTGAACATCCACTGTGCCAAGCATTGTTCTAGGCACAAAATCCAGTGGCGAACAGGGTGGATGGACAACCTGAGGGGAGAACATTACCGTTCATCTGTACTCCCCAGTGTGATCGGGCCGCCTCCCTCCTGCCAACGGAGCAGCTGAGCATCTGAAACGTGGTGCCCCCGAACACGGACGGGCACACGGCTGGCGCTCCCTGAAGAGTCCTCTTTGGCATTCTCCGAGTGGCTGGCCGCCAGCAGCATTTGGCAATGCACGCGGTTGTCACCGCGCGGGTTCAAGAAGTGAGAGGTCCAGGCGCGTTTGTCACCCTCAGGGGGCCTCTGTCAAAGCTGGGGAGACACCACCTCCGGGCACCTTCTGGAGAAACCGCGGCCCTCCTCCCTGGGAGACCCGGCCAGGCTGGACACCTTCAGCAAGGAGTGCCAGCTAGGTTCGTCCACAGGAAAACAGGGCCTTGAGTCAGGGGAGCCCGGGACAGGAAGGCTTTGCTTGGGACAGGGTCTTGGAAATCTGGGGACTTCCCAGCCTGGGGATGACGTGGAGCTGGCGTGAGAATCGTGGCGTGAGTGAGCTCACTGCGCTACCAAGCCCAACCAGAGAGTACTTTTCCTCACTCCTTTCTCACGGAGGAAGAAAGGACACACGCAAAGTCACTGAGCTGACAAGGGGAGCCAGGATGCCAGGCCCGTCAGCCTGGCTACAGGGCCTGAGCCTCTTCATCGCCCCAGGAGCCCCCAGGGGAGAGGATGTGGGCAGGGCTGCCTGTGTCCTCTCTGTGCCTGGGACTAGCACCCAGGAAGTGACCACAACAGTGGGGTTGGGAGGACTGTCAGGGAGTGCTTTTTCCTACCTCCCAGTCCTTCCCGGAGTTCGCAGAGCCCTCAGACCTGCCCTCGCCCCTCTTCAGCCCCAGCTCCCCTCCAAGTGTAACAGACCCCCCCTTATTTGCCTGCCTTGGGATCTTCACCTCCGCCCTGCAGCCATCCTGGGCTCTGCACCCTGGTGCACACAAAGCCTTTGTCTCTTTATGGAAATGACCAGGTCTTGCCATGAACGTCTTGCCTAAAGGAGGGAATGCCTCATGGAAAATTAGAGATGCACATTTCTTTGTATTTGAATACTTCCAATACCTCACTCTGGCACGGAGCCAGCTCCCATTAGAGCCCAGCAGCCTCCGCCTTTTCCATGCACGGTCCTCTCTGGTGTCTGGTGAAGCCTACAGACTTCTTGATAGAATTGATTTTTTTGGGGGGAGAGGTTTTTGCTATAGGGCGCATGCGTTCGCCAGAAAGACAGAGAGAGACAGAGAGACAGAAAGCAAGAAATCACCCCCCAGTGGGGATGGCCAAGCCACAATCCCTTCTCCTCCATCCTCCTCTTGGGATCTTGGCACGCACGCCCACACACATGCCCGGAGTGAGTTTAAGCTGCCGGGTCCAGGACTTGAGCCACGGTCAACTACATAAGAGTCCAGTGACATAGCCATTACGCTAACTGCTGGTCCCTTTTCTTCTCTTTAAGAGAGATTTTTGCTATAGGGTGCATGTACTCGCCAGAAAGAAAGTGAGAAATCACTTGCTGGCCACGCAGCAATCCCTTTTCCACTCTCCTCCTGGGATTTGGGGCACACATGCACACGTGCCCAGCGTGAGTTTTAAGTCCTCAGGTCTGGAATGCGTCGACTACGTGTGTGTGTGTGGGGGGGAGGAGGAGTCCAGCAATGTGACTGTTATGCCATCTGCTGGTTCCTAGAATTGATTTTTTAAAAAAATTTTAGACAGCATCTCACTGTCATGATCTTCCTGCCTTAGCTTGCCATGCACCCACTGCACTGGGACCAGCACCCAGGAAGTGGCCACAGTAAGGGGTGCGCAGGGACTACACCCACTGCAGGGGACCAGCACCTAGGAAGTGGCCACAGTAAGGGGTGCACAGGGACTGCACCCACTGCACTGGGACCAGCACCCAGGAAGTGGCCACAGTAAGGAGTGCAGCTGGGACTGCACCCACTGCAGGCAAGCTAAGGGACGAAGGCACAGGCATCTCACCAGGCTTTTCAGGGATGGCCCAAAATCCAACCCAGGCCTCCTGGCGGCCTCAGTCTCCTGAGTAGCAGCACCAAGCCGCATGTGCTGCTGTGGGCTAGGGTACATGCACTCACCAGAGTGAGACAGAAAGAGAAAGTGAGAAATCACCCCCCACGGGGCATGATCACACCTTCATTTCTCCCTCCTTTTAGGATTTTGGGCACACATACACATGCATCCGGGATGTTTTTCAAACTGCCAGAACTTGAACTCTACAGTCAGTCCCGTGGGATCCAGCTCCCATAACCACAGGTCATGGAGCCAGACCACAGAATGCTATGTTCCCGGGGTCCACACTTATGTGGCATACAGTAGGCACTCAATAAATCAGAAGAGGGAGGAGGAATTAAAACAGCGTAAAGCTTTTCTTCCAAAACCAAGCACCCTCTGTGAGAGAGGGAGACCTAGAATTGAAAGCCGCTGCCTGGCTAGCAGAGGTGCATGTGGGCCTCAGCCAGGCTCTGGTCTTCAGTGCAAGGAAGACCGGAGGTTGAAGGAAGGCGCCAAAGCTGCGGGTGGCTTCCCTGCTGGCCAGCAAGCCAGGGTCCTCCTCTCTACCACTCTCAGGCCGCCAGGGCGATGGTCTCCCCAGCATCTCCAGTCAGCCACCAGCCCAGGGGTGACAATAGGGCTCCTGTGTGCTGTGATGGGTGGGGAGGGCATGGGCTCAGGCAAATGAGCCAAGGCACCGCTGATATAGGGCGGGCGGCTGGCTGGGCTCTGCGTCCCTCAGTGCTCACCAGGATGGACGGCAGCCTGAAGCAGCCTGGCCTAGGGAGAGGGCCCGAGGGGGAGGAGGACAGCGGGTCCATGGCTCAGCTCCGGGAGCTGGCCCTGAAGTGGTTCATGGAGACGCAGGCCCCCTTCATCCTGCAGAACGGCGCCCTGCCCCCCTGGTTTCACGGTTTCATCACCCGCAAGTAAGTCTGCCCCCAACAGTGTGCCTGGTGGCCCCCACCCCAGGGACCGAGCAAGGCCTGGGGACCCTGGAGTCAACCGGTTCCTCCCTGCCCTCTCCCTGGGGCAGGGACCCCGGGAGGAGCAGACTAAGGAGTGCCACGTGATTTGGTGGTGGTGTCTGTGGGCAGGCAGGGGGAGGGTGTCGGAGGACAGGTCTAGGGTGGTTAGGGGCCGCCAGGCTGCCAGAAGGACAGACAGAAGGCCAGGTGGGAGCAGGTTGTACTCAGGCCGGCTCTGAGTAACTCGGGGGATAGCTCAGGGCCAGGTCATTCACTATTCAAACCGGAGCACTGTTACCAACTGAGCTAGGAGCCCGGTCAGAAACAGCACACCGGAGGGGCTGGCCAGATGGCAAGGTGGTTAAGGAGGCTGGATCACACATGGCCGACTGCATGGGTCAAGTCCTGGACCTGGCAGCTTGGGGAACACGTCAGATGCATGTGCCTATGTGCCCCGAATCCCAAGAGTAGAGTGGAGGAGAAGGGATTTTGGTCACTTCCCAAGGGGGTGCTTTCTCACTTTGTCTCCCTGTTGTTCTCCGGTGAGTGCGTATGCCCTATAACAAACCTGGATGTGTGGGTTCCCCAGGGAGAAACACCAAGGTGTAGGACTTGGCTTTCTGATAGGGCTGGCTCTTCAAGCTGCCCTATCAGAAAGCTGCCCTAGCGGAAGGGATGGCGACTCCAGCCTGTCACTACACAGCACCTGGCATGGAGCAGGGACCAGCTTTGAGGGTGTCGACCTGTGCAACCGCTCAGGGCCCTGTGCTGGGAGGCGCCCCACGCTGCGTTTAAGGCGGCACTGTCACTTATCTAGAATCCTTTATACGTTTTGGACAAGGGGCCCCACATTTTCATCTAGCAAAGGGCCCTGCCAATTATAGTGCTGATCTACACAGACCAGGAACTCAGTATTTGGTGAGTAAGAGGGTGAGGCAATATCTGGTCTCTGTACTGCCAAAACAAGACAGCTGGAATTTTCCACCATGCCTCCAAAATACTTGGCATTGTGGAGAAACACTCATAGCTGCCTGGGGTGGATGGGGACACGAAGGAGGGCAGGTCAATGCGGTTCTGACCAGGCTCGGACACGGCAGCCGCTTTGTCCCGCCAGGACTCCTGTGCTGGGCACATCCTGCACGCAGTAGGAGGAGAGAGACTCCCCTACCCCCAGCCCAAAGAGCCTCCAGCCGACTGGGCTCATTCTGGCTACACATCCGGGTGGAGCCCAGGTGGCAGGGTTCATACAGGACCCTAAGCAGCCCCAGACCAAGTCTTTTTTAAAAGAGATTTCTTGCTATAGGGCGCGTGCCCTTGCCAGAGAGACAGAAAGCGAGATATCACCCCCAAGACGGGGTGGCTACACCACAAACCCCTCTCCATTCTCCTCTCGGGATTGTGGGTACACACAGCCAGCATGAGTTTCAAGCCACCGTGCCTGCAACTCAAGCTACTCAGTCACGTCGGGGTCCAGGGACGCAACCACTAGACCAACTGCTGGCCCCACCAAACCGAGTCTTGAACTTGCTCATCTGAGTCCGGACAGGCCACAGAGCCAGCCAAAAGGCTGAGGGTGTTCTCTCTAAGGGGCAAGAGGTCTGGGACTCAAGGGCACAGTGGGGACCCTGGGCAGGCCTGAGTCAGGCTGCCTCTGCGGCTGAGCGGTGCAGGCCCCCGCTAATGGCGTGTCCTCTGCCCAGGCAGACAGAGCAGCTGCTCAGGGATAAAGCTCTCGGGTCCTTTCTCATCCGCCTCAGTGACCGGGCCACGGGCTACATCTTGTCCTACAGGTAAGAGGGGTTGCCCTCTGCGAGGGGCCAGGCAGGTTCTGCAGCAGGAGATGAACTGCAGCCTCCGGAGGGGCTGAGTGGCCAGGGAAGAACATGAACGTCCTCCCAGAGAAAGGCTGGAGAAGGCTTCACAGAGGGAGGGACCTTTGTGGCCAGCCCATGGCCTGGTCCTTAAGGCAGCTGAATCCCACATGACTGAGCACGTGGTTTGAGTCCTGGAACTGGTGACTTGAGAGAGACACCAAGCACACATGTACGTGCCCAAAAATCCCAAAAGGAGGGAGAAACGGAGGGGAAGGGATTGCCGCATGACCATTCCCCATGGGGGATGCTTTTTCCCTCTCTCTGGCAAGCATGTGAATCATCTGGTCATCAAAACAATCTTCTGAGAGAGTGTTCTTCTGGGTTATCAGGGAGACACAAATTGAAACTATAATGAATGGCTAAAACTGAAACAGAGCTGATCCCAAACAGCTGATGAGGACATGAAGCAACCAGCCTCTCATGCACTGCAACAATGTTACAGGGGACCGGACAACATCTCTTCTTCCTTTTAAAAGTTGCTAGAGGGCACCGTGGGATCCCTGGAGAGGCTATGGGGGGTTGGAGTGAGAAAGCACTCCCCCATGGGATATGGCCACACTTCAATCATTTCATCTCTCCCTTCTGTCTCATTTTTGGGTGCATGTGCCAGGCATGTGCGCGTGCGCGCACACACACACACACACACACACCCATTTTTTTTCACTGGGTCCAGTACTCGAACCGCGGTCAGTTACATGCGAGTTTAGAGACATAGTTATTATGCTAACTGCTGGTCCCTATGCATTTTGAGTTTCTAAACTCTCGCATTATTAGTTATCTTGTTGATGACTGAGCTTATTGGTACCCCCCTCCTAAATTTCCCACCCAAGATGAATGCCCCCATGCTCCCCCCAGTGCCAGCCCTGCCCGCCCTGGCTCCACCAGGACTCCAGCCCGATCCCTCCCTGAGGGACACAGCAGGGCTCCCGGTGGGGCCGGTGGCCAGGTCAGGCGGTGGAGCCAAGCCCTGTCCTGCACAGGGGAGGGGGTGGGCAGAGCCGAGGCCGCGCCCATGACCGCAGGTGCTTGTGTTGCAGGGGTGGCGACCGCTGCCGGCATTTCGTCATCAACCAGCTCCGAAACCGGCGCTACCTCGTCTCGGGGGACAACCTGAGCCACAGCACCCTGGCCGAGCTCGTGCGCCATTACCAGGAGGTGCAGCTCGAGCCCTTCGGGGAGACCCTGGCTGCTGCCTGCCCCCGGGTAGGCACCTCTCTTCCCTGGGGTGAGAGCGGCAGGGCAGGGTATCCAGGTGTGGGTGTCCATTCCTCGGGCTCATGCCTTTTCTCGTCCTCTCTATTCTGTCATCCAGGGGTGCTCAGTGTGTGGGGGAATCCTGGTTGCCGTCTGAAAAGGGGAGATGGTGGCAGCATCTTACTAGGGTCAGGGACCTGGTGGCAATGTTCCAGCCCCTTGCCAGCAGTCTCTGGAGGGCAGCTGGAGGCCAGCCAGGGGTTTGTGACCACCTACCCACTGTGTCCCCACCACCCTCAGCCGGAGGACGATGATCTGTATGATGCCATCACGCTGGGCCCCCACCAGAACAACCTAGGCCTGCAAATCCCACCTTCCCCGGAGCCCGCTGCTATGGTCCCAGACAAGGCCACCGGCCCCCGGCCCCCTCCAAAGACCCAGGTCTCCTTCTCCTACACAAAGAAGAGCCTGGACCTGAGTCCCCAGGATGCCTCTGAGGAGGAACATGTGCAGGTGAGGAGGATTCTGGCCGCCTGGAGGGAGGACACTAGGCCAGGGATGTGTGGGCCAGGCCCCAGGCAGGCCTAGACACCATGCAGGCCCACTCGCTCAGGCTGCAGAAGGCCAGCACCAGGCTAGAGAGATACGGAGTGGCTCGCCCACACCACGGCCTGCCTGGTTGCCCTGAGGCTCTGGCTTGGCCGCTGACTAGCTGTGACTGCGTGAGGTCCCTGGGCCTCGGTTTGCTGTCTCTGAGGCTCCTGGGAGGGTTGAATGGGAGGATGGACATACAGCCCCTGAAAATCCCTTAGTAAACTAGAGTGGGGATCTTGGGCTGGGTCCAGAGAAGCTGGACTGTCCAAGAGGAGCCGATCCCACATGGCGACTGTGGTTCGAATCCCCAGGCCGGTCAGCCTGGAACATGCCAGGTACATGTGTGTGAGGGCTCAGAATCCGATGAGTTGGAGGACTAGAAGGGGGATTGCAGCATGACCGGACCCCGTGGAGGGTGCCACGCTCTCCACACAGGCACATATGACTACAGAAAAAGGCCCACTATGCTCTTCTTTACTGCACCCCATGGAGGGCCTTAGAGACATTTTTCTTAATATATGGCAGATTGCAGCATGCCGAGGGCTTCTCCTATTTAGGATGAAATACAAAATCCTCCCAGGTCCACTAGAGCCTCACAGGTACCCCGCGACCTCTCCCCCTTCCTCTCTCTCCAGCCCCACAGGTTGTCCCCATACAGGGTCTGCATGGCCACACTCCCACTGCACCTGCTCTCAGCTGCATGCTCCCTCCTCAGAAAGGCCCACGTAGGGACCAGCAGGTGGTGTGGTGGTTAAGGGCATTGGATTCCCACATGGCTGAGCGCAGTTCAAGTATTGGACCTGGCAGCTTGCTCTCTCACTTTCTCTCTCTCTCTCTCTGCCTGGATCAAACTAAAAAACATAATAATAATAAATAAAGTTAAGTAAAATATTAAAAAAAAAAAAAAAAGAAAGGCCCACATAAACTGGGGCCAGCAGATGGCATACTGGTTACATGGCTGGATTCCCACCTAGTTGACTGTGGTTTAAGACCCAGACCTGGTAGCTTGAAACTCACACCAGGTGTGCGTGTGTGCATGCCTAAAATCCTGGGAGGAGAATGGAGAAGGGATCGCAGCACGGCCATCCCCCGGGGAGGGGTGGTGGTGTGTGATTTCTTACTTTCTGTTTTTCTGTCTCTCCGGCAAGCACATGTGCCCTATAGCAAAAAATCTCTTTAAACAAGGAAGAAAGAAAGAAAAAAGAAAGAAAGAAAGAAAAAAAGGCAGGCCGACCTAAACTACACTGAAACCCTCTCTCCACCATCATCCTACCCATTACCCTGGTTTGCCCTTCACAACCTGATCACCCGGTGCCGCCTTCTCTTACGGTGCACTGGTGTCTGTTTTGGTACCTCAAGCCACGTACCTCCAGAGGGCCTCGGCAAGCTCCCAGAAAGTGCACACTGAGAACAACGCATGGATTTCAAACACTCTGAGTCAAAATAGACTGAGCCAGCCCTCCCTGTAGCACAGTGGTCGAGCCCTCTGTACTGAAAGCGAGCACCGATGTGGCTGACTAGTTTGAATCCCAGTCCTGGAGTCTTGAAAAACACATGAGGCGGGGCCAGCAGGTGCCACTGTGGTCAACTCCCACATGGCTTGACTCCCAGACCTGGTGGCCTGCTTTCTCACTTTCTCTGTCTCTGGTGAGCACATGGGCCCTATATCAAATTAAATATAAAAATAAATAAATAAAATTAAATCATTCTTTTTTTATTTTAAAGAGAGAGTTTTGGTACAGGGCACATGTGCTTGAGAGAGAGAGAGAGACAGAAAGAGAAAAATCACCCCCTCCTCAGGGGAGATGGCCATGCTGCAATCCCTTCTCTTCCATTCTCCTCTTGAGATTTTGGGCACGCATGCACACACGCCTAGCGTGAGTTTAAGCCACTGGGTCTGGGACTCGAACCATGGTAGTCTATGTGGGAGTCCAGCGACGTAACCAATATGCCATCTGCTGGCCCCATTTAAGAATCCTTTAAATACACACACACAACTTAAACTGTCCTAATTGCTGGTCTTACTCCTCACCAACTCCTTGGCACCCGGGGCAGTGCTGGCACAGTGGGTCCTGCTATGTATCTGTGCATGCCCATCTGGAGGGTGTGGGCAGTGCATGGTGGGCTCCAGAGCTCTGAGGGACTGTGGCCTACACTGGGGGTGGGAGCAGCAGGGCAGGGAGCTCAAGTGGGAAACAGAGCTGGAGACACAGGCCTTGAAGGCCGAGGTAAAGGGGTGACTGAGTTCTGGCACAGGGGAGCTGGCAGCAACCCTGAATATCATGTGCCCAGCTCTTGCACGTAACAGGTACACTGAGGCATCTGAGAAAGAGGATGGGGCATGATTTAAGAGACTGTCTGTCCCTCTCTCCCCAGGACTCCGTCACAGTGCCCCCCCTCCCTGAGAGGAGTGCCTCCCTCCTGGAAGATTCTGTGGGAGGCCCCAGTGACATCATCTATGCAGACCTGAGAAAGCTGAATCAGGCACCGCGAGGCCAGGTCACAGAGGGCTCCGGCAGGCTTGGGCCGGGTCTGGCTGGCAGCGAGGCCTGCTCCCCAGGCAGAGCGGCCCCTAGGAGACTCTCGGATGGGGACCAGTACAGGCCTGAGAGGCCAAGACCTGCCCTCCCTGGGGTGAGCCCAGATCAGGGCCCTAGCGAGGCTTCCCCTTCCCAGGGGCTCCTCCTCCCTCCCAGTCCTGAGGCCCCAGGGTTCCTAGCAGTGCCCCGGAGGCAGGGGTCTCCCAAGCTGAGTGTAGGGGCCCAGCCCTGCTTCCAGGGCAGCTCTGTAGAGAGGAGCGAGTGCGCCGAGACAGCAGGCCTTCTGTTCGAGGTCAGGGAGGCAGTGGACCACGGAGGCAGGACCTATGAGCAGATCCCAGCCTGCTGGACAGGCCCTGCCAGACCCCCACGTCATGGGACCAGTCCCACATACAGCCAGCTGTCAGGGCCCGTGGACAGCAGCTACGAGAGGATCTCGGAGATCCCAGGACTCCCAGAGCCCAGGGACATCTACGAACAAATCCCAGCAACCAAGAACAAGGAGGCCGGACGGACGCATAAGGTGGGCTTCGTGGGAGTGGGGGCTGCCATAAGTGGGGGTGGCTGAGCTGCGGCCTCCACATGGGCAGGCCAGGTCACCCCTACTACCTGGAAGTGACCAGAATCTTCCAGCCCGAACCTCTGCCTGCTGGTGGTGTAGGAGAGGCAGCCACTGGATTTGGGGAGACAGGATTCCAGACTATGCTGTTCTCGGCAGCAGACGGGGGGCTCGGAGCTTCGGCGGGGGGGGGTGGTGGTGGTGGTGGTAGTGACCTTGGCCCCTGTCACAGCGTAGCCACTTCCTTGCCCTGAGGCCTTGGGCGAGATGGGTCTTCTGGGCAACTAAAGTCCTCAGATTTTGCAGGATAAAATATAGGACATCCAGGGACCAGCAGATGAGGTAATGGCTACGTCGCTGGACTCCCATGTGGTCGACCGTGGACCAAGTCCCGGACCCGGTGGCTTAAACTCACACTAGGCGCATGGGCGTGATGCCCAAGATCCCAAGAGGAGAATGGAGAAGGGATTGTGGCATGGCCATCCCCTCAGGGGGTGATTTCTTGCTTTCTGTCTTTCTGTCTCTATCTTTCTGGCGTACACGCCCTACAGCAAAAACCTTTCATTAAAAAAATGTATATATTTATAAATATATACGCACACATAGGACATGCAGATGAATTTGAATTTGAGATACGTTTTTGGCATGTCTCAAAACCTGCAACCATTCAGGCTAGTAGGTAGTGAAGAGTTTAAGGTGGCTGGGTCCCACAGGGCCGATTGTGCAGTTCGAGGTCTGGACCCCAAGGATCGAAAAACATGCCAGGGCCCACAGGTGAATGTTGGTTAGGCCGTGGACTCCTCCATGGCTGATCACAGCCCGAGTCCCAGACCTGGTGGCTTGAGAATCACACTAGGCACATGTGCGTGGGTGCCCAAAATCTCAAGAGGAAATCAGAGAAAGGATTATGGCGTGGCCATGCCCCCGGGGAGTGTTTCCTCTCTTCCTGTCTCTCTGGCAAGTGCACACGCCCTGTGGCAAAAACCTACACGAACATACACAAAAAAGCCAGGCACGTGTGCACAACGCCCTGAGAGGAGATGGAGAAAACGGGCTTGAGGTGTGGCCATCCTCCCCGGGGAGGTGACTCCTCACTTTCCCTCTCCATCAAGTGCAAACCAAACCAGCAAACAAGCAAAAACAACCTTCAGTTCAGAATTTCTCTGAAATTCAAATGAACTGGGCATCCCGTGTCCTCACCTGGTACACCCAGGACCTTCACTGCCTCATCTGTCAACGGGCCGATCTGGGCTGTGTCCGGGAGGCTCCCGGAGGAGAGCTGTGGATGTCCTCACACTCAGGGCATGGCCCAGAGGGGGCTCCCTGGGGCAGAGCTGCGCTCTCTGAGGTTTCCTGAGCAGGAAGGAGACAGGAAGTAGGGGTCAGAGGGGTGGAGGAGCCCCAGCCACAGCCTCACCCTGCTGAGCCCTGGAGACAGTAATGAGGGGAGACACTTCCCGCAGGCACACTCAGGCCTCCTCTCCAGCCCTCCCCGGCAGGAAGCCCTACAGGTTCTACCCCAGACAGGACAGGGCAGGGCAGGGCATTGCTGGGCCTGCACCCCTGCCCAGCAGCTGCCAGAGTCCTGGGCCTCCTGGGACCACAGACGGGGCAGTGGACAGTCCAAAAAACCCCAGAAGCCACATCTCATGTCCTCTCCAGTCCCTGGTGGCCCTGGGTGCCCCCTCCTCCCTCACCTAGGACACCAGTGCACCCCGAGGTCCCCGCTGGGTAGAGAACACTGGGGTTGGGATGAGGAGAGACCAGGGCGCTCAGGGAGGTGAGGGCTCAGCTTTACTCTGCCTTTCTCCACTCCTCTTCCCCTTCCCCCTCCTTGCCAGAAGCCATCAATCTTGCATCCAAACTGGAAGGCCCAAGGGGAACCTCAGGCCCTGGGAGAGGCTTGTGGTACAGCCACAATACCCAAACTCAGCCCCAGTGCCTGGGCTTGGGCTGGGGGGGAGGGGGACTCTAGGCCTCTCCTTCCCTGTCCAGGGCCTCAGACCCCCAGCATCTCTCCCCTCCTTACAGCCCGACAAGCTCAGGAGGCTCTTCTTCGCCGACAAGAAGCACAAATTCTGAGTTGGGCCTGCCACCTGCAACCCCCACCTGTGGGCTTCCTGGTCGCCCGGATGTGATGCAGCCCCAGAAGGTGCCCGGGACCCCAGACCCATCCAGCCTGCCCTGGAACCAGGCGCAGAGACACAGCGGGAAGCCTGCCTGGAGAGGGACAGGAAGGGACCGGCCAGCGCCTGCAGCTCTGGGCTGTGTCCTGCCTCCTGGGCCCTGCCATTCGCACGGGTCGGGCGCTGTTTCCTGGATGAGATGCAGAGCACTGGGCTGAACCCTCCAGCCTGCCGCCCACCTCCAGCGCTGGGTGGACATGCCCGGTGCCGGGACGGGCACTTCCTAGCTGGCCAGTGGCTCGAGAAGGAAACCAGTTTCCCTCCTCTGGCCCCATCAGAGCGACGTCCTCAGCTCCTGCCCAGGACAGGAAGTCGGAGCAGGGACACCCAAGGCCCAGCCTCGGAGGCGACGGCTCTGACCCTGGAGCAGGCTGGCCCCGGGACAGCCCCCGGCTCCTCTCTGCCGTCAGCCCGGCCTCACCGTGCACGCTGGCCAGTCCCTCGGGTGCCCGAGAGGCGCGGCTGTGCCTGGGGCCACGCGGCTGGCGGGGCCAGGGCGGACACCGCTGGGAGGCTTGAGAGGGCTCCCCTCCCCGTCACCCCACCTGCCCTGGGCCTCCAGCCAGTCCTGACCTTCGGGGGGCTCTCAGACCGGCCCAGGAGGCTGACCCCCCAGTGAGGTCACAGGGCACCGGCCTGCACACGGGGTCACGGGCCTGCCGCTCCATCCTGAGCACGGGGAGGCTCTTCCCTCTCTGCTCCGGGGTCCTGCCCACTTCCTTCTCACCCACGTGCGCCCCACGGGGAACAACTGGCCTGCTGCCCGGGGCCCTGGGCATGACGCAGACCAGAACCCGCCAGAGGCCTCCCTCTTCCCCCTCCTGACGGGCAGCGGGGTCCGGGGGACCTACCGGGGGCGGCCGGGCACCCTCGGACACACGGCCCTCCCTCAGACACGCAGGGGCCCACAGCCACGCGGGTCTGCAGCGCCGAGTGAAGCGCTCCGTGGACGGGAAGCCTCGGCCCTGTCACCCAGCATCCTTCCCGGGCGAGCGTGTGCTTTCCTCAGGGCCCACGCGGCAGTGGAGTCAGTTCCCTCCGTCCCCAGGGCAAGTGCGCGTGCGCGTGTGCGTGCGCATGCGCATGGGGGACGCGCACAGAACGCTTCCCAACGTGGTGCACGCAGCGTTGGAGAAAGTGTTTTTTTTGTTTTGTTTTGTTTTTTTTCAGTTTTTGATACAGGGCGCATCCACTCACTGGAGATAGATAGAGAAAGAGAAAGGGGGAAGTGGGAAATCACTCCCCAGGAGGGATGGCCACACCACAATGCCCCATCCTCTGGATTTTGGGCACGCGTGCACATGTGCAGGAAGTGATTTTCAAGCTGCCGGTCCAAGACTCAAAACCACACAGTCGGCCAGGCGGGACCGCTGTCTTAACCTCCACGCCACCTGCTGGTGCCGGAAAGTGTTTTAATCCCAGGAATTCACAAATCTGAGAACAGCACACACCAGTGGGGTGGGGAGGGTGGCGGGCCGTGCTCCTGACCTGAGGCACACACACGGACAGAGCTTCACATCGGGGAGGCTTGGGAGGAGGGACAGGCAGGGGCGCGGTGCAGCCCAGTCTTGGGGGCTGGAGAAAGATTGCATAGCTCATTAGAACCCCCGCGTTTTTCTTTTCTTTTTTTTTTTGCTCTGCCCTGAGGAGCAGTGTCTGAGTCACACACTCTAGGTGGGGTATGGGGGTGGTTGGGGCGGGCCTGGAGGGGCCCTGGAAAGGGTCCGAGCCCTCACATCCTTTCCCTGGTTAAGGTTTTTTTGCTGAAAGGGCCACACAGAGAGTCTGTGGGGCTAAAGCCCCGAGGCCGCAGCTCCTTTCTGGAGAGCCTGGAGGCCACGCCTGCGGACAGCAGGGCTGGCAGCTTCCACGCCTCTGCAGCCTCTGCTCCTCAGATCCGGACATGGAAAGTGCTGGAAAGAGAGATAAGACAAGAGCCGGTGAGAGGCGCTGGGCTGGGCAGGCGGAAGCTAAGACCTAACCAGGTCCCTTAGGGAGCCCTGCCCAGAGGGTGTGGTCAGCACCCAGGCCTCAGGAACAGCCGTCCCCAGGGACTCTGCCCTCCCATCATAACCAGGTCTTCTTCCCGAGTCTGGTCCTGCAGGAAGCAAGTGCCAGTCCCATGTCAGGGAGCTGGGCCTCGGCCAGACCTCCTGCTTCCCGGCTGGTACACCCCTGCCACCGCGTCCCCACGGCCAGGCTGCCAGGCTGCAGCCCTGACATTCCAGCCTGCCCCGCCCAAGCCCAGCCCCGGGGTGGCGGCACCTCAGGAAGTCAGGGGCCTTGGCGATCATGTCCTCGAAGTCGGCGAAGCCCAGCTTGCCGTCGCCGTCCAGGTCGGCCTCCTCGATGACCTTGTCACACACCAGCACCACCTCGTCTTCTTCCAGCTCGGACTTGGTGAGCCGGGCCAGCGTCATCTCCAGGTCCTCCTTGCAGATGAAGTTGTCGGTGTTGAAGTCTGTGGGGCCGGGGTGCGGGCGGGATGGTCAGGCTGACCCTGAGGGGGACTTCTTCCCCCCAGTGGCACCTCCCCCAGCCCAGAGCACTCTCGGATACTGGGTCCTTGTCCCCGGCTGAGGGAGACCAAGGGGACTCGCCTACAAGGCATATCGGAAATATCGCATTCCCGAGTGACACTCGGGCGTCCTCGGAACCCCACGGCGACTGTATGTACAACCGCAGCCTCAGACAGTCCGGAGGTCCAAATCGGAGGCTCCCTGGGACCTCCTCCAGGCTCAGGCCAGATGGTTCTCCTGGCCTCACCCCGCAATGGACTTCTACAACTATGGAAACCAAGGCCCAGAAAAAACAGCCCGGCAGAGAATCATTGAGAAACGGAGCAGAGATTCTGACATGGCCAATTCCACCCGACGACCGGCGTTTTCCACGCTGCCCTGTGTGACCCCAGGCAGGCCTCGAGTCCTTCATGCCAGGTCCCAAGACCTGGAAGGTCCTCCGAGAGAGGCCCCGAGGCTGGCCTTTGTACACCCAGAGCAGAGATCACGGCTGGACTCTACTTGGCAGAAAGCACGACTCCTGCCCCAGTCCACAGTAAAGTGGCCCAGAGGGCTGAGCCATGCACGGGCTTATCCTGGTGAACTCTACCCCGCTCCCCCATTTTCAACCCAAAGACCTGACTTTATTATTATGTTTTTTCAGTTTTGCCAGAGAATGTGTGCACTCTCCAGAAACAGAGAAAGAGAAAGGGAAAGGGAGGGGCCAGCAAGAGACCGGACATGCATGTCCATGCCCAAAAATCTGAGAGGAGAATGGAGAAGGGATTGTGGTGTGGCCATCCTCCCTGGGGAGTGATTTCTCACTTTCTGTCTCTCTCTAATGAGCACATGCACCCTGTAGCAAAAATCTGTCACAAAAAAAGAAAGGGAAAAGGAGAAAGTGCCCCCCCGCCCCCAGTAGGGGTGATCATGCCTCATCCCTTCTCCTCCATCTCCCCCTCTGGTCAGGACTTTTGCACGCAGATACACCTGGCATGTCTTTCAACCACCAGGTCACGGGGCTGGGCCCAACAGCCCGATCACTGAATATGCTATTTCTCCTGCCCCTGAGCAAACCTGCTCACCCTCAAACATCACCTTCCAACAGGAGGTCTTTCTAGAAACGAAGACCCCCTCCTCAGTTCCTCCCGCCCACTGGGAGGACCCGAGACCCCAACGCTCTCGTTCTCACTCACTCGCCTTTTCCTTTGTCTATTGATTCCTTTCCTCTCTGTGTGAGAGAGAGCATCTCTGAGAGGGCCTCCACGCCACAGCCCACCCCCAGCCTCAGATGGATCACACACATGTGCATATGCACGTGCACGCCTGGTGTCCTCGGGGAAGTTCCCAGACATGCATCCCGAACCTCCCCAAGGGGTCAGTCTCACAGAGCACTCGGTTCCACCCCGGTGCCACCACGCAGTCCCCTCCCTTAGTTTTCAAAATCAGCCTATCAGGAGGGAACAGTCCGGCTCCCTGCCACACGATGAAGGCCAGTGGGCTGAGAAGGACGAGGAGCCTGCCTGGGGTCACTGCCTGGGTCAGTGCTGGATCCCGGGGTCCCGGCCCTTAGCAGGTGCCCTGTGCTGTCCAGCTCCACCCCAGCCAGAGACACCTCCAGGGGTCACCTCCGGGGTGGCACGCGGCTGTCCTCGCAGGGGGACACCATGGGCTCCCTGAAAGGGTAGCTGGCTGGGAGGACCGCAGGGATGCAGCGCGACCCAAGGAAGGACACGGATTTCCAGCATGCAGCAGAACCAGGGAACAGGCAGGGGAGCGCGTCCCTTGGGCTTTCAAGGACACACAGCCTGGCTGACTCAGCTCGGAGCTTCTGACCTTTCAGACTAGAAAAGAATAAATCTCTACAAAACAAAACAAAACAATTTGGCTTGCTGGCCAGCTAGGTACCTCTGAGGGTTGACAACGTCAGGATTTCTGTCCCCATTTTATGGGAGGAAACGGAGACCCCTTGTGCTCTGTACTCCCCCTTCCCAGAAGGCCAGGGGCCCGGGTCTGGAGGTGATGTCACATGCCCACACAGACGTGCTTGGAGCCGGGCAGACAGGCCGGGACTGACTTTCTGACGGGCAAACACATGAAGGTGCACAGAGGCGTCCAAACCCAGGTCCTCCGAAATAAGCACAACTGTAAAATGAAAAGCCTCGTCAGGCCCTGTGGCCTGGGATATGCTGGCTGCTCAGAGGTGCTGAGGACAGGAGGTTTGTCTGAGGCTCTCCTCGGCCAGGACGGGCCCCAGCCCCTCTAGGCCCCCGGTGTCCCCACCTGAGGACTGTCTGAGGCCTGCCAGGCTCACAGTGGCGGGCTGGATGGGTGAGCTGGTTTTCTTCCTCGGGCTGTGGGAGGAGCTGCACTTCTTGGTTCGTGGGTCTCTGGCACCCTCTGGTGGCTGACGAGACTGTAGAACCCAGGGCTGGGCTGGGTGGGCCAAAGTAGCCCTACTTCCGCAGATTCTGGAAGCCTCCCTCCCAGTCTGGCCTCAGCACCACGGCCCAGGCCTCCTCTCCAGCCCCCAGACTCACTCTGATTCCTCCAGTTCACGCCTGGAGGCTGCTGAGTGAGCTTTCTAGAACACAGGTCTGCCCCTTCCCACCTGAACCCTGCAGTGCCAAGGCAGTTTTGCTGGTGCAAACCAGGGGGTGGAGAGCTGGCCCCAGGCCACCTCTCCAGACCTCTCCCAGCTCCACACGTGGCCTCCACACGTGGCCGGTAGGCGGGAGATGTGTCCTGAGCCTCCTCGGTGGCCGCCTCTGTGGGTGTGCCTGACCTCTGCTCTAAGCCACCGTTCTCTGGCCCTCACAGGCCTGCTCTGGTCTGCCCATCTATGAGTCCTGGCACTGACCACACCACGAGTGGCCGAGCTCCTCCTGTCCTCAGGACCCCACCCGCGGCACTCGGGTCTGTCCCCTCAGCCGGCCACTGGACAAGCTCTCTCAGAGAGCAGATCCGCCTCTTTGTCCTGCATGTCTTATGTCCCCAGGGGAGCCAGCAGTAACGGTGGCCTGAGGGACCCAAACGCCACTGCTCTCTGTCTCACGACCAACCCTGCCAGACCCTCCTTACCGTAGATCTTGAAGGCATAGTTTGCCTTGAGGTCGCGGGGAGCCGACTCGCAGAGCACCGAAAACATGTCCACGAAGTCATTGAAGGTCAGGTTGCCCTGGCCATCCTCAGAAAAAGACTCCACGATCCTTTCCTTGAAGGGATTCTCCTGAGAGGGATGAGCACAACTCACCGTGGGCGTGGAGGTGGGAGGGCTGCAGAGCCAGGCCGCATCACCCACAGGCCCTCAGATGGGGCCCCCGATCCCTCCGAGTCTCCGTTTTCCCGACTAGCAGAGCAGGCAACGGGTTAAAGCACGGAAGATGCTGTCTCAAGGTCTGGCACGGCGGCACCCAGTTACGCCATGTCCTGTCGTTAAGACGACACAGGGCCGGCGCATGGCCTAGAGCTGAGCAGAGCCAGATCCCACGCGGCTTGAGAAATACGAGGTGGCGTGCATTGTGCCCTGATGCATGGAGGCGTGGAGGATTGTGGGTGACCACGTGCCCACGGGGTGGTGCTCACTCGCTCTCCCTGTCTCTCGCTCCCTCTCTGGTGAGCACACACACCTTCCGACAATTAAAAACAAAAAACCCCAGCGTCTAGTCTTCCCTCCCAGATGAGTGAACTTGAGTGGGCATATTTATTTATTCATTTATTTATTTTAAGAGATATTTTTTGCTATAGGGCGTGTGCGCTTACCAGAGAGACAGAGAGAGAAATAGACAGAAAGTGAGAAATCACCCCCCCAGGGGGGACAGCCACGCCGCAATCCCTTCTCCTCCATTCTCCTTCCGGGATCTTGGGCACGCACGCACGCACACGCACCCAGCTTGTTTTAAGCTGTCGGGTCTGGGACTAGAACCACAGTAAACTATGTGGGAGTCCAGAAACGTAAGCATCATGCCAGTTGCTCATCTTTCGAGCGGGTATTTTGGAAAGCCCCTAGGTAATATGGGCTACGTTCGAGCCCGAGAAGGGGCACTGTGAATGTCCATGCTGACCTCGGGGAGAAGCCACGCCAGACGAGGGAGTGACGGAACGATGGTCTAGAAAAAGCAGACAGTGGCTAGCAGGTGGAGTGGTTGTTAAGGCGCTGGACTCCCACATAGCCGACCAAGGTTTGAGTCCTAAACCTGGCATCTTGCCTTCTCACTTTCCCTCTCTCTGGTCAAATTAAAAAAGAATAAAGTTAACTAAAATAATTAAAAAATAAAATAAAATAAAAGGATAGAAAAAGCAGACACAAGCCCTGCCAGGTTCGGCAGGCTGGGGCCATTCTACGAAGGGGCAGGGAGTGAGCACTGGCCCAGAGGCGGCCACTGCTCACAGCACCCAGACGGAGCCCGCGACACACAGAGTGGCACAGTGAGTGTGCTGGGGAGGGGACAAGAGCAGGGGCCCTGACAGTGATCTGCTCAGGGCCCCACCAACTCTGGGTGCCTCTGCGGCCTACCCAGGGGTGCGGGTCCCTGCCCCCAGCCCACCTGCCCTGCCCGCAGCCAGGCCGCTCACCTACCCGGAGCTCCGGCATCTGGACGATCAGGCTCATGGGCACGTGGACGATGGGGTTCTTCCTGTAGTCCATGGGGACAAGGTTGGGAGCCAGCTCGTAGAACCGTGCGTGGAGCCTTCGGGGGAAGGAGAGGAAGTGTGGGGGCCGCCCTCAAGCCCCCAGTCGCCTGTTGCACCCTCTCTGGGCCTCTGACTCTGATGGCCCACCCAGCCAGGACAGGTGAGGGGTCAAGGGGAGGCCACCCATTCTGCCCACAGGGGGGTGTGGGAGGGAGCTCTTCCCAGGAGAGGGTGTACGTACACGTCACGACCACCGCCATGGCCCTGATCCTGATCCCACCCCCAGCCAGATCATTTTACTGTTTCCCCTGTGACGTCCCCTTGGGGTGTTCTATGCTCCCGGCATCGCGGTAAATCCTTAGCACACATTGGCTCAGCACACCAAGGTGAGGAGGCTGCAGGAGATTCGTCTAAGGCTGCACAACTAGGAAGTGCCCAGGGCCAGGGCCAGGGGTGCACACCCGGAGCGGACACTGACCCATTCACCCTCCTGCCACTTGTGAAGTCCATCAAGGCCCTGCCCAGTTCCTGGAACTCCGGAAGAACACTCAGAAGCTCCACATCCTTGGGAAGCCCCTGTGGATGGGCCCTCCAAACCTTTCCCCAGCTGGGAACCCTGACCATGCCCACTGCCCTGGGCCTGGCCCTCCTTGCTGAAGGGACGGGCCACCAGCTCCGGCCCCAGTCTCCTGCCCTGCGCTCGGAAGGCCACATCCTCCTAGAACACTGGCCACCCCACCAAGCTGCGTGGACCCTTGGAATGAACCCCCTGCCCAACCCTGTTTACGGTCCCCTGCCCCATGTCCCCGTCCAGGTCTTTCCATCTCAGAGAGCAGCCCCCACCCCAAGACAGGCAAGAACTGTGCTCACGTGGCACCGCGTCCGTGCAGTGCTGCTAGGGGAAGGGACGGGTGCAGGGTCCTGACGGGATTGTGCAGGGGACCTGGCCGATAGAGGCCTGGGCTACAGGACTGGATCAGCTGTTGGCTCCTCCCCACTGGTCAAGTTACTGGCATGTTTCAGAGCTTGCCCAGGGGAAAATGCACAGCAAGATGCGACAAGACCACTTCCCCGAAAAAGGGCCTGAAATCACAGAGGCTCCCTGGCTTGGAGGCAGAGCTGGAGGGGAACACCCTCAAAGCCTGTCCTTTGGTTGTGCAGGTGGCAGCAGCATGCTGAGACCGTCCACAAGGGGGCGCTCTAGGACTTCCTTTGCTCCTATTGTCTGCCTTGAGGAAAACTTGCCTTTAAAAAAAAAAAAGATTTTTGCCATAGGGCACGCACTCACCAGAGAGAGACAGGGAGAAGGAGGGTGAGAAAGCACTGCTCACAGGGATGGGCCCCTGTAACTCCTCCATTCTCCTCTCAGGGTTTCGGGCACGCGCTCATGCACACCTGGTGTGTTTTTCAAGCCACTAGATTCCAGATTTGAACTGTGCTGTTGGCTGTGTGGGATCCAGCCCCTTAACCACCATAACCACCACGCCACCCTGTGATCTGACTTTCTGATAAACATATACAGAAGACAAGTACTGGCACAACAGACATCAAAAGACTGAGAGTCGTTATTTCGGAAGGGTAGGTAGGCTTATTTCCCACCTCGAGGCTGGCTTCATTTCCTAATTGTTCTGAGTCGCGCTGTATTATATATGCAAAAAAAAAAAAAAAGCTGGTGGTAATGGACACTGCAGTTTTCCAAAGCTTGGGAAAATAAACCAATAACGTAGCAAATGGGTGACTATTTGGGTGCTGGCTGGGTGGGCCTCTCTCTGAAAAGAGGGGTCAAGGACCCCGTCCGCTCTTCGGGAAGCACGGCCTAACCGGGGCGGGGTGTAAGCTGTGCCCTAGCCTGGAGAAAGCCAGGTGCCTGAGGGTAAGCCTTGTGCATAGGGAGCCGGACCCCACATAGCCCAGCGCAGTTCAAGGCCCGGCCTGGCAACTCGGAAAACATGCCAGGTGCGTGTGCATGCGTGACCACAATCCTGACAGGAGGGCGAGATGGAAGAAAAGATGGCGGTGTGCAGACCCTGTGAGGGGTGCTCTCGGTTTCTGGCGCGTACATGTGTGTTTTGGCAAGAAAGCAAGGGAAATAAGGAAGGAAAGAAAAAAGGGGCAGGTGCCTGATGGGATGTGCCGCCCACTCGGGCTCAGTGTGGGGAGGAAGAGCCACGCCCGGGAGAGACTGGATGTGCCTGGCAGGGGCGCCATCCAGCCCGTGGTTGTCTCAGTATCACCGACCCAGGGCTGCCAGAGCACAGGGCCCCAGGCCGCAGAGCGGCAGCTCCTGCTCAAGTTTCCTCCTGGCCGTCCCCGTTCTACAGGAGAAACGGGCCCAGGGAGGGCTGGACACCTGCCCGAGAGCCAGAGCTGGGGACAGGGGCAGAGCCAGGTGTGCGGAGGCCAGGCGGGAACGGCAGCCTGGGCAGAGGGAGGGCCGAGGCACTGCCGTCCGAGCAGCAGTCAGGACGGACAGACCGGCAGGGCTCTCCTGGGAGGCTGCAATGGGCTCAGCCCAGCCTGCCCATCGATCTCCACGGAACGTGATCCTGGGTGTCGCTCGCTTTTAGTGCTACCTGATAGCAAGGCCAGGCAGGTTTCCTGGCACCCCACTACTCCTGGCCAGCTGGTCCGGGGTGGGGCTGCAGACCCCCTCCGAATCTCCTCCCGGTCCAGGCCCACCCTCCGCTGCAGTACCCAGGAGGGGGCTGTCCCGGGAAGGAGGAGACCCCTGGTGGGCACACTCTGCCTATGACATGCCCCAGGCATGAGGACTTCAAACCCGGAGCCGGAGGGCCCTTGGGGACTCCAGGGCAGAAGCCAGGGACTCTGCTGCGGCAGGCCTGGGGCCTCCAGGGGCCCGATTTCCAGGCCCCCCCTGCCTTTGCCTCGGCCAAGCTGCCAAGTCCATCCGTAAGAGCGGACGCAGGGATCCTCCTGCTACGACGACATCGTGAAGAGTAAACGAAAATGTGCCGAAGTGGACACTCTGTTCCTGGAGGTCTGGGCCCAGGGAGGAGGGGCAGTCCTCCTGCCCTTACCGCGGTGCAGGGGAGTGGAGTCCCAGCCAGCCCGCCCC